TAAGGCCCTCCAAAACATGATCAAATGCCACTAAACAACACGAAATTCATTATGTTTCCAAGATGAGAATGGAGTCAACATATGCATGAAGGAATTCTTTGAAAATTAAACTCAAAACATGGGGATTTATGCATGCATGCATGGATTGGTTAACTTTCCTACTCCTTAAGCTTGATTCTCACATCTTTTAGCTTAATTACTTGAATTCATGCATGAGTAGGTTAAATCCACAATTAAAAGAAAGAATCTCCTACCTTAAGTCTTGAACTCTAAGTATGGAGTCTCAATTATGCAATCTTCCTACAATTCCTTTAAATTCTCCAAGCCAAAATCTTGATGGACCAAATTCTCTTATCTCTCTCTCTCTCTCTCTCTCTCTCTCTCTCTCCCCTTCGGTTTTGTCTAGGAAGTGGCTGAAGAAACTAATGCATCAATATGTAATAAGGTGTAATAAAGGTTGGTCTCAAACCAAGCCACTAAGTGGCCTTTGTGTAATTAAGCAACTAATGCAATTCAACATTATTTAATCTAATTTAAACATTCCAAATCGAATTTTAATTAAACCTACCATAAAATCACATAAAATCTAACTAGTATAAAACACTAATCAATTTCGGAATTGGTCGCCAATAAGGCTTCCAATTTGCAGATCGAAGTTCCAACGAGAACATATATTTCTATGTTGAACAGATACAAACACCAAATCATGTAATCACACATGCAATTTAGTTCCAAATCCTTCCTAAATTATTGTTAGGCATAATTAAGCACGAATTAACGTTAATTAGGGGTCGGGATTATTACATCATCAGAACCCTGATTGGGTCCGGGAATTTTCTTGTAACATCGAAGGTATTGATGATATTGGCCATTCTTTGAAGACCTAGAGTAGGTCTTAGTCCATCACTATTACCCCTGATCTTATCCGCGAGCTATTAGGCATAGCCCGTGTCTTTTCGTGTCACTATCCCTTCCCTATCCAACCCACCTGTGACTTCAACGAGGTGGCCACTACATTGCGTGGCTCACCCCATACTTGGATCAAGAGAGCCTTGATAAAACAAAATGAGCTCTTTCCCCGGTTCCGCTTGCTCAATCTTATTGTTTGTGCAAATGTCATAGTCACCACTCATAGCTTTGAAATCAATTAAGAACAAGGTTTTGTTCTCTTCTGCATTGATCACCATCTCTCTATAAATCTTGCCACCCTCATTATTCAAAAAATGGTAGTCGCTTTTGAGCGAAACAACTTAGGTCTTCCTTACGGTTTCCTGATTAACCGTCTTATCACCAAACTTGAAGTTCCTACTTTTGAAAAGGATGAGTTTACCTTTCCTACCTGACCATTTACCAAAAAGACCGTCTCCCATAGTCAGTCCCATGTCAATGGGGGGTCCTTCTGGAGTGGGTGGTTCTGTTACAGGTGATGATCCTCTAGTTGAGGAGGCAAAGTATGATGTTACTGCAGGTGAGGCTGCAGGTGAAGGGGAGCAGTCTCCTCCGTTTCGTTATATCAGAGGTCAGTTACGACAGTTAAAGCATGCGATGGTGTCCTGCTTTGACCGGTTGGAGAGTCGGATGGATATCTTTGATGCCCGTCTCACCGACTTGGAGGCCTCTACAGACTCACGACTCACTGCCTTGGAGGCATCTGTTGGCCGCATTGAACAGTTGATTGATTAGTCTTCCCAGCATCTTGCTCAGATTTTGTTCTTGCTTGCGATGATGCAGTCTCCACCTCCGCCAGCTCCATGATGCATGTTTCTTGTTTCCTTGGGCAGTATATTTCTTTGCACTGTTTATTCTCTCTTTTTTTTCTTTTTTTCTTTTTTTGTGCTTGTGCTTGTCTGCCGGACAAAAATGGGGAGTAGTTATTTGGGTTTATGATTGGGCTTTGTGGGAATGTACATGAATATTGGGATATATTGGAATTTTGGCATAGATAGATTTGGTTATACATATTTGGATATTTTGCTTAGTCCTATCTATTTATCTTCGTTATCTTATTTCGTTCCACAGTTTTGGTTTGTGTGGTATTTTGGTTTTTTCCACAGGTGGATTGTTCAAAATGTTTCTTAGTATTTCTCAATCAAATTAGTGTTTGTGGTTTTGCAGTTTGGGAGCTCTTGATTGTGTTTGTTAGTATGTCTAGTGCGTGTGTTTGTTAGGAAAAATTGTTAGAAATGTTGTCTTGGAATTGACAAAGGGGGAGATTGTTGGGTCCTTACTAGTTGCCAATTCCGAAAACAAGCTTGTTTATTTGAGTTGTAATTTTTCCTCTGTTTTTGGTCTTCCCGCTCGAGCGGAGTTTTCCACCTTTGCAATACTTCGGCTTGTTTGAAAAAATGCTGTGAGGTGTGATTTTACATTCAAGCATAAGTTCCTGCGCTCGAGCATGAACCTTGGCTTGGAACACGCGTTTTAGCATCCCTGCTCGAGCGACCATTCCTACAATCAAGCGGACTTCGCGATTCCAGCTACTATAAAGTTGTTGTCTACTCCGAATCTAGGGCACGGCTTCCAAATCTTCCTTGAGGGTTCTAGGGTTTTCTTTTAGGGTTATTTTGCTAGTTTTCTTTGATGTTTGATTGAATATTATACTCATGGTTTGACGAGCATACATCAAAGAGTTGTTTGATTATTCGACTTCAAGAGTGTTCTTCGGTGGAATCCGGAGATTCAAGCATAGAGTACTCGAAAGAGTTTGATGCTGTGCGCAGTCGTTGATTCGACAATGGATGTTGTGGATTCAACATCAAACTGATCAATTCCGAGACAAAGGCTGCAGTGAAAGAGATACAGATTGTTGAAGATAAATTGTCAGAGTTTGGGTAATTTGTTTGGTAAAATTTGTATTCTTTCTTCCTTTCACAGTGGATTGATTAGTGGCATTTCGCTCGTGATTTTTTAATCACAATTGGAGGTGCTCCAATTGTGGTTTTTCCACGTAAAACTTGTTTGCGTCGATTTATTATTTCTAAAACGACAATCTAAATCACTTTTGTATGTGCTAGATGATTTAGATTGTTGATTTTAATCGTTTGGGATTTGGTACAATTATTATTGATCTAATCACAAATCACTTAATTTTTTCGTCCTTAAAATGAGGGAGAGATTTTTCCCATGAAATGAGAGTTTATTGTTATTTTTTTATTGTATATTAGTTTCAAAATAGAAACATGTGCAAAAAATTAGAATAGTGATTTGGTCATACTACATTAAACATGATCTAATGGAACATTCAAAAAGAATATGGATTAGATGGAATAAAACACTTAGAAAGAGGATTTATTAAAAAATGACCAAAAAAATTTGATTATTCCGATTGTTTATTGGCAACAAAAAATGATTTTTCAAACAAAAAGCATAGTAACAAACAATATACAAAAACTTATCAAATAATATATAAAAATCATCAAATAATTCATATATATTGACGCACCTTTTTAGAAAATTTTGTATATAATCTATGCCGGTATAATACCGGTGAATAAACTACATAATACTAGTGACTATACAAATCGACAAACAGACTACAGTTTATGTGTAATAGTGGCAAAAAATGATTGTTCATCACTGGTTTACCATCATCTCTATTGTGAATCCATCATCATCTTTATTATTGGTCTACAGCTAACCCTCTCTTCTGAATATTTTTCCATGGTAAGACCTTAATGCAAAATAATGGTGAAGAAAGATCCTTGATTGAGTGAATCCCTCATATTGAGGCAAAGAAAATATTAAGAATAATAATCTTCCATATTCTATATACAATGTTTTATATATACGACAAATAAAATATATCTAATAATTGATTTATCTCTCCTAGATATATGGTATTATTTTCTTATATATTATAATAAAAGTGTATAAGGATAAAATAGTCTACATAGTAATTTTAATCTGGAAAAAAGGACCTATTGAAATATAAGTTTAAATATATAAGACTTGATGGAATATTAAAAAACTTTATGAATTTATTAGACTATAAGTCTATTAAATGGGATTAATAAATAAATCTCCCTAAAATAAATGGTTCAAATAATTAAGGATCCCACAAATCCAAGCATAACGGCAAGGTTTAGATTTTGAACATGCTAATCCTTTGTTGAATGGAGGTCAATTCTTGTAGTGTAAAATTTGGATTCGAGGGCGCTGTTCAAGCTCATGGGACTCATCACGGGTTTCATTTTGATTATCCAAATTATTCATTTTGTCAAGCACTTCGTGTATATCATCCACACAAAAAATTAGGTCGATTCGATAATTGTAATCTATTCAATTTATTACATTTGTCACAAAAAAATTGACGATTATTGTTTTTTAAAATATAGATATCTATTTTCTTATGACGAACACGATAAATTGAATATGTTATGATTATCATATCAACTTAATTTTTTGTGTGAATAATATATAAGAAAATTTCTATAAAATAAACGATTCGAATGATCGAACCGGACTCAGGTCAGACTTGAACAACACCCTCCACTCTATACACAGATGACTAAAAGGGGCCCAGTTCTGCTTGAATTACACACATAGTAATCACTTTACTTCAATTATGAAAGCTATGGTTAGTTAATAGAACCAATAGGACTATTACCCGTGTATCAACCAAGAAAGACCATAAAAAGATTTCTAATATTGACAAAGGAGCTAAGAAGGATTATATTGATCCTTTTTTTCTTGTAAATTACTAAGATGTAAAACATCACACTGAGAACGATTATAATATTATATTTAAATATCACCTTGAGTAATTTTTAATATTGTTGAACATCAAAGCCTAAGCTTAAGTGGTCGATTTTTAAATGAGAAGTAGACCATATTAGTTTTCTGTTTGTTAATTCGAAAACAAATTTTGATTGACTGGAAATGGTATTGACAATTTCACCTGGTCAATGATCATTGGTGATCATCCATGAATCTTCTTTGTTAGACACACATACCTTGTTTGTTTAACTAAACAACTTAGGCCAACAACTTATGCTATAAAAATGTCATTTCTTCTAATTTCTGGGTTTAGTTCTAAAGAGAAAATGGATGAGAGATCGATAGGTGCTGCTCAAACTGGTGATGTAGAAGCTCTCTACAACTTAATTCAACAAGACCCTTTTGTTCTTGATAAGATTGATCAAGTCCCCTTTGTGGACACTCCTTTACATGTTGCTATATCAGCCAACCTAACCCATTTTACAAACAAGATTGCAACCCTCAAACCATCATTTGTAGTCAATATAGCGATCCAGGTTTTCCCTTTCTGTATCTGTTGTATTCCGGACTTTGGTTCCGTGGAGTTGGTAGTTGTATCTACCTTGTTGTCATCCTTTGATTCCATTTGTTTGAGTTATAGGTTGTGTTGGTCTTGGTTATTACAGGTTGGTAGAGCTTTGGCTCCCATTGTTGTTGTCCAATTTTTGTATGTTCCGCTTGAGCGTGGTTTACGCCCTTTCAGTATTTCGTGTCCCTGCAAAACTTCTGCAGGTGTGTTTTCTACACTCGAGCGGGTTTACTACACTCGAGCGGGTCGCGCTCGAGCGGGCTTGTTGGCGCTCGAGCGGGTAGTTCTTTTTTTGAAAAGTTCTGGGAGATGAAAATCTACGCTCGAGCAGACTGGTTTTCGCGCTCGAGCGGATGTACTTTATTTTTTGTGTCTTGGAGCTCAAGCGGGTCTTCTTGCGCTCGAGCGTACCTAGTTTTTTGTTCTTGATGCTCGAGCGTTGTGTTTTCAGCTCGAGCGGGAATGTCATATAACAGAGGGCAACTGGGCATTTTTGAATCATTTTCTACACTTCCACTCTCTCTCTTACTTTTCCATAACGCCATTTGAGAGCTTCTCTCTCTAGAACCTTGCCTTCTCTCTAGGTATTGATCTAGTAAGAGTTGTTTCCTCACCTTTGGCCTTTACAAAAAAGTTGTTGATCGTCGAGGGCTATCTTTTGATCCAAGAATCTCGGGATTTAGAGCATTTCCATTTTCTTCATCTTCTTCATTGGGTGTCAACTTTTGAGGTAAGGATTCCTACTCGCTACTATGGGTTTTAACCTAGATTTTTGGGCATTTTGTTAAATGGTTGATTTTGGAAAGTTAGGGTTGAAAATGTTGAAAGGGTGCTTTGCTATTTTGATTCTATAATGTGTATTGTGGGTTTCAAAATAATGATATTGTTGTTGGTTGTTGATATATAGACCATTGGGTCAATATTGGGAAATGGAGTAGAAAACCCTAATTGGTTGTATAAATTAATTGGTATGATTAATTTGGAAAAATTGTGGTTATGTGGAATTGAGTTGGAAATAATGAAATTGGCTCATTATATAGTAGAATAGTGGAGTTGGATTTATTAATCGCTCACTTTTGAAAACATTGATATTTTATCTGTTTAGAAATAATTGCTTGGGCTACCGGTGGAGGGTAGTTTTGATTGTTGTAGACAATGCATGATGATTAGGCAAACTAAAACTAATCAATTGGATATGTCATAGAGTATGACGGTTGATAGAATACATTAATGTTATGTATTGATTGATTATGTATATGACCTATGTGTATATACGTTGTGTGTGTGGGAGGAGATAGGGGATGTACTCCACGGTTTAGGGGAAGATAGGGGATGGACCTCTAAACCGGATGTTGTTTGGGAGGAGATAGGGGATGGACTCCACTGATACAGCTCATATGCTTGTCAGTTAATGTGTTGATATAGCCTATATGCTTATCTATGGAAGTGTTGATACAGCTAATATGCTTATCTTTGGAAGTGTTGATATAACTAATATGCTTATCTGTTGAAATGTGGATACAGCTTGTATGCTTATCTGTAACTAGTATGTTTATCTATTGTAAAATGGGAAACGTTTAATATGAGTCACTGTCTCATGTAAATGGTTGGCCAGGTTCTGAGCTGTTGATGTAAATTGGGAAATTGATAAGAAATGGAAAATGAAATGAAATATGGACATAGTGGTCACGTAATGGAAATGGGTTATGAATTGATTTATGGAAATAGAACATTTATCAATTGCTGATGTCTTAGTTACTGCTCATACTGTGTTTAGCATATCTCTACTGGGCATTGGCTCACCCTATATGGGACATTATTTTCAGGTACAGGTAGTTTGCCACCTCCAAGGACATAGCTTGGATGATGATGAGAGTTGAGGACTCATTTTTGGTTTATTTTGTTTGTATTACATGTATATCAAGCCAAGGGCTTATTCTGTATAGAGTTAGTACTCTTCTTTTGTGTAACCAGGTGTTGACTTGGAAAGCTGTAAGCCCATAGGGCATTTGCTTTTGTTGTTAACATGTAATACTGTTGTAGGAACTACTCTGATGAATAGAAATTGTTGGTTTCTTTTATATCAATGCATATCTAAAGTGATGGGTTTTATGTATTATTTTGATGGCGTTACAGTCAAGCTAAATCAGTATGGGTATAGCCCCATTAACTTGGCTTCAATGGTCGGACAACCAGAGATTGTGAAACAACTCATAACAATTTATCCCAAACTCTTCCTACTAAAGGGAAGAGAGACGACAACTTCGCTTCATTGCGCTGCCATGGTTGGCCACACCGATGTCATCAATCTTTTGCTCAACGGTTGTCCACAGTCACTTGTGGAGTTGACAATTTGGAATGAGACTGCACTTCACGGGTGATTATTTAGTACTCCCGGAGTATGGACAAGTGGTGCTCCATAATGTTTTGATTGGTGGAGAGGCGTAAGGGCCTACAATTCATGTTGGAGATGGGGAACAACATGGGTTAAGTAATTGGTGATTGGTTTGGAGTATGGCCACGCGTTTGGAGTATGGCCACGTGGTGCTCCTAGAGTATTGAATAATTTCCCGCATTTCACTTGGCAGTGAGGAGTAACCAATTGGAAACATTTAAATTGTTGTTTGAGTGGCTGCAAAAGCTTCAAGACATCGAGGTTGGTGCCTCTGCCTTTTTGCTTGCACTGGAAAGTGCCAAATTACAACGGTTAGGAATGCAATTAAAATTGGCACGATTGTTCGATAAGAAGGAAGTAGAGAGGTTGTGGTGTTCTTTTGCTTGTACTAAGAGGGAAGTGGAAGACTTTGAGATAATAAAGGATGGGCTCGAGAAAATCAGGAGGGAAGAGGTGTTGAATTGGAAGGACAAAGAAGGCAACACTGTTCTGCACCTTGCAACATTCACTAAGCAATGTGAGGTAAATCATCATGGCCCTCTGGTTTTAGATTTTCTTACTGTTCTATAGTTTTTTCTTTTAACTCGCTAATCCAAGAAAAATTTATGGAGTATTTTTTGTTTCAAATATTACATATTTGAAGATAATTTGAGAAGTTTCTTCTTTAGCACATACATAACAAGGAGATTATCCAAGAATTGGACAATTTACATAGCTAAAAGTTCTTTTTAAGTTGATTTTTTTTTTTTATAATTAGAACAGGGTTTTTGGTTTTGCTTAATTAATTGCCCTACTTTGTTACAACTTGGACATGACCTACTAATATTTTATGGTCCTGTCTACTAACTTTAATTTAAGTTTTACAGACTTGACCAATATTGATTACAGTTTGGTATAGAATTAAAACTGCCAATACATCATCTTGGTGAAGGAAAGCAATCAAACTGTACTTAGATTGAGCCTGAATTCCCTAAAGTTAGTGTGGTAGATTTAGATTAATTGGGAAAACGTTTTCCATTTTTTTTAAAATGAAAATTATTTTTTGCCAAATAAATTTCCTTTTAAAAAAAAAATCCATTAACTTTCGTTTTTTGTTATACGAAATGCCAGAAAATAGCAAAAATTCTTTCTAGAAAATGTCTTGGACTGAAACAAAAAAAAAAGAAGCACAAAACTACATCCTCTGTTCCACCTTGACTTCAAAGAAATTGATGATTGTTTTGGATTTAGTAATTGACTCCATTTTTGCATGATTTTCTTAACAAAAAAGCTTTCCATATTTATAGATAATTAAGATATTACTTAGCAAGAATCCAGCACCCAGAACTCAATTGGATGTCAATGCTGTAAATGGAAATAATCAGACCGCCCTCGACATCTTATTCAAGCTTTGAAGAGAGAAAGTAGACAAAGAAATCAAGCAAGAATTGGGAAGTTTATTCACAGGTTGAAAAATAAAGTTGGATCTACCACTACAAGAAAAAGTATTTTTGGCGACTAAATTTTTAGTCGCCAAAAGTCCGTTTTAAGTCGCCGAAAGTCGAGTTTTTACTTTCAGCGACTAATTTTTTTAGTCGTCCCTTTTGTCGCGTATATATGGTCGCCGGAGGTATTGGCGACTAAAATTTTTTTAGTCGGCAAAAAATAGCTCTTTAGTGACCAACTTTTTAGTCGCCAATTGTGATTTACACTTTTTAAAATCACACATTTGGCGACTAATCTTTTAGTCGCCAATAGTCCATGAATCGCCGACTAAACGGTTTAGTCGCCCAAAATAAACACTTTTGGCGACTAAAATTTTCGTCGCCAAAGGTCCTTCCGTGAAAAAAAAAAAAAACCAATTTCTTTGCTTTTTCTGAGATTCGAACCGCCAACCTCTCCGACATTCGAACCGCCAACACTTTTAGCAACACACTCCCTCCACTATGCCACTTCAACATCACATGAATATATATGAAATATATATTATTTATATAGTATATTGATCGGTATTAATACAAAACTATATACATAAATATAATTATTTTTATTCAATATAATTTATGTAAAAAATAAATTATTTATTAAAAAAAATTTAGGCCGCTTTTGGCGACTAAATCCATTATTTAGTCGCCAATTCTATTATTTTGGGCTACTAATTAATTTTTTGTCGCTAAAAAAATAAGTTCAAATTAAAAATAAGCAGTTTTGGCGACTAAATCTGTTTTTAGTCGCCAATTGACTGTTTTTAGCTACTAATTTTTTTTTTTGTAGCCAAAAAGCTTCATTTTCAGCGACCAATCTGTTTTTGGTCGACAAAACACCTATAATCGGCGACGAAAATGTTTTTTAGTCGCCAAAACCATCACTTTTGGCTACTAAATTATTTTAGTCGCTAAAAACCGATACTTTTGGCTACTACACAACCTTTAGTCGCTAAAACCCCTACATTCGGCGACTAAACTGCCTTTTAGTCGCTAAAAACCCTGTATTCGGCGACTAAACTCTTTTAGTCGGCAAAAGTGTTCAATTTTGGCGAGTAATTCCATTTTAGTCACCAATTCTATTACTTTCAGCGACGAAAAATGAAGTTTTAGTCGCCAAAAACGCTTTTTCTTGTAGTGTACAAGCTAAAAGGATAAAGATTTCCTGTTGTATGGGTTGTAGGAAAACCTATTGCCATATGTATAAAAAAATCAAATTCTACTAAGTCATTTATGAAAAATGTTTGAGGCACTTAATTTATCACCCCTAAAAATCATCCTTAATGATGTGTCTGATAAATATTAAATTTTGATTTGTCAAACATTTCATGATCATGTGAAGTCTAATCTCAACGCTATATCATTAGGGGTTATTTAAGGGTGATAAATTAGGGTATGTAGCATTGTTCGCAAACTCAATCATCTGCTAGCACCACACCGACATGTTGGTGAGAGACCAACCAAAGGAAAAAATCAAAACCACAGCAAACAGTATAAAAACAGAGGTAAAAAACAGTGGAAAAAGAACACAGCCAGACACATGAACTTCCCCAAGATCATGCCTTGCCTCTGAGCCAGACAGACAACACAATGACACCTTCATCCAATACAGAATCTAATATTACTTCATAATTAAATCATCCACCAAGAAGAAAATCTCTGGATAATGAAATTTAATCTAAAGAGCAATTCTAACCTCAATAAGTTCGCACAAAGCACTCAAATCCACCTGCTATCCATTGAAAATTCAATTGTTTCTTAATTTCCACACAGACCAAAGGACTGCCATTGGAATCACATTCCAAATTTTAGAGCTGAACTGATAAATTCACACGTTCATAATTCCATGATATTATCTATCCCTTTTTACAAAAAAACATATAAACAGCTCCCTGGTGAAGCACAAATTGAGAGCTGAATTGATAAAAGACATATAGTAATTTGCAGACAACTTATGATCAGAGATGATGTCTTTTTGAAGAATCTATGCACCACCACTCCCATGTATGTTTTTGGGTTCACCAATTCAATGAATTTTTTTTTATTTGAACTCAATAATAGTTGTTGGCCTACACAAACTAAAATTAAAAATTAAGTAACAAGAACAAGGTATAATTTTCAACATAACATGGAATATGCTGATTGATAAGTAGGATTAAATTGGTCTTGATGAGCTCCGTTGTCATAGTCTTCAGATTGATGTCTAGTCTTCAGATTGATGTCCAGCATAGTTCTAAATATCGGCCGATACGCTACGTATCGGAAAAATGGGGTACCGCGACGGATACAGGCCGATATACCACTGAGATTGAAAATCGCAGGAGTATCGGCCGAGTCCCGGTACGTATCGGCCTGTAAGCGTTACACAAGCCACGACAGGCCGATACTCATCGATTCGGACCAGTACAGGAAAAAAAAAGTTAAAAAACTTTTGAAATGATTTTTAAAATTTCACCACCGCGACACCCGATTCCCGATACGTACCGATCGATACTACCGATACCGATACACCGCGATCGATACCGTTACGTTACCCGATACCGCGATTTAGAACCTTGATGGTGATATGTAGGCAAATAATAACCTGCAGCTGATCATCCGACAGATTATGAAAACCTGGAACACAGGACCCCAAGGACTTGATACGGCAATTATAATCATGGCAATTAAGAGCATAGGGTAAGCAACGGTTATGTTGGAAGTAGGAGGATTATGACTCTGATCAACGACTCTGCCTGGACCTGGAGGGTTAAGTCCAGTTTGGAAAGTGCCCGTTGTTGTGGACATTGTGGTGGCGTTATTAATGGGGAGATTATGATTGTTATCAATATCAACAACTCCGCTTGGAGGGCTAAGACTTGTTTGGAAAGTGGCCGTTGAGGACGTGATGGTGGGGTCACGAATAAAATCACCCATAATTATAACTACGAACACAATGCTTACTAATGGTACATATAGTTGGAGTGGGCATTTGGAAACTGTGAATTGCAGCCTTTGTCGAGCTCTAACAATCCATCCATATATTACTTCCAAAACACCCACTAATAGTAGTACCAAACTGAGAAATGGAATCTCCAATGGCATACCACTTCGCACTCTAAAAATCCATCCGCATATAACTTCAAAAAAACCATCACCTGACTCTAAAAAATCAGTGAGACTATAGATATCATTAGCAAATGATGAACCACAAGAAACTTTTGTGCTGAGGAAAATATCATGAATTTCTTCACTATCAAATCGTCTTGCGAGATCTAGAGACGTGAAGCCCTTGAAATTCTTTGCATTTCTGTTATTGTAGTTTTGATCAAGTATTAACTTCACAATCTACACAAACCAGATGTGCACAAAGTCAATAATTTATTAACCATAGTGCACAAGGGACTATACATACTTCAAAAATTATGTACAATCATATGTGGAATCTATCGACTTTTGTGTCTTAATGTTTGGCAATAAAGATTAGTGCACAAAGACCCCCCAGGCGGTGGGATTGGTCTTGGATTAGTCGGTTTAATTGGCCGGCTATGAATTATCAAAAAAAAAATATTAGTGCACAAAGTTGTGGACAAAAGATTTTTTTGGTTGAGATTTAACCACAATATGTAGAATTTTAGGGATAAGATATTTTTGTTCCTAAAAGTGAAAATTTTGTTGCAAAAAGTATTTGGAAACTAATTTTTGTTGTAGGAGGATCGTCGCTAAATGGTCACCTAGAAAGTGAAAAAGAAAAAAAAAAAACTTTTGTTGACAAAATTTTGATCCCAAAGTATAATAATTTACTCTAAATGTCCAATTTGGTCCCTAAAACAATGACGAAAAGCGATGAATAGATAGATAGCATGCCTGAGGTTGTGAAGCCGTCATTATCCATCCAGTTTAGGATCTTTCGCCTATGGGTTCTGCGCATCCATCCCAACAGCACTTGAGAGGCTGCTGAATTCAATCTTTTCATAGCAATATGCAATGTAGTCTCACCGCAAAATGTCCGGTCCTCTATTGTTGCCGGACAATCACATAGAAATTCAGCCAAAAGTTGCCTCTCATTTTCTTGGGCTACATAGTGCAAAGGAGTGATGCTCTGCCTTCCTTTGACGCATATGAGCTCCTTGTCAAAACTTCTGAGCTGTCTTAGGGTCTCAAAGTGCCGATTTTGCAAAGCCAAGTGCAAGGGACTTAGCCCATCCGAGCTCAGCTTCCTGCCAAACGATGGCTTTAAGTTCATCATTTCTAAGGCGAAATTGGTACGTCCAGCTAAGGCGACTGTGTGTAAAGGAGTATCAACAAAAGGAATGTTATCTATATGATCCAAAATATGTGGGTCTTCTCCTATGCACTTGTACAAGCCATTGATGTCTTCTGCTTCAGCAGCCGTATTCAACTTTTGTTGAGTCGAAGCCATGACCCGAAAGACTTTGTGATTCAAAGGCACTGCAAATAATACTGAATTAGTGCTAATTAAGGAGGAGGAAAGTGATCAACCTTTTATAATTACAATTGGTAGTGGCCATTGGGGATCATTATATGGCTGTCATCAACAATTTCTGTGAAAGTTCGATAAATAATTTTAATTCCCAAACAAAAAGCTTAATTTATACACAAAAAAAATAAAAAATAATATACAAAGATCAAAGTCTATCTTTAGAAGATGGTTCGCATTATTTTCTCCCGTTTAAGGAGATGTTTATAATTTTTAAAACTATAAAGAATAATTTATATTTTAAACAAACCTAATGAAGTGTATTTATAATTTATCCTAAAAATGTATATACGAATAATATTTTTGAACAAAAAAAATTATTATTTTTTTATTTTTTGAAACCATTTGCTGCAAGTGGATATGTCGCTGTAAATGTCACCGTCAGTGCATTGTATATTAATATTAGATGGAGTATTATATCAAGAGGGTATTATATCAAGAGGGTAGGTCA